ACCTCCAGCCACATTTGGAACGGTAAGTTCCGCAGCAGATTGTGATCAAAGAACTGTGCTGTGTTTAAAAACCACCAAGTTAATGCTGATGGACTGGAAGGTTGTGCACTTGGGTCCAGGCTAAATCAGGGCTCCTCTTGAGCATCTGGAGATTAGCCTAGAACTGCATGTGCGAGTATGGCTGCATTTAAATTACAGGATTGGTGTCTTAGACCTGAGAAAGAGCTTGGGTTGTAACTAACAGGATTTATACACTGACAGCACAAGCATATCCTGAAGTGCTGCTGCAGTACAAATAATACTTCATAATAATTAATGAGCACAGACAACAGTGGGATAATTATTCAAAATCATTGATATCTCATTCTGTGTTTTTCCTTTAGCTTAGGAATCAGCATTCATGACAGCAAGCTCTCTTATTTTGATTTCCTAAGTGCAATTGATGATGGCAGAGCATCTAAAAACCAACAGAGACAAAAGCAGGATGCACCACCTGCAAGTTTTGTAGTGCTCAGCTTAGAACAGACCCTAATTAAGATAAAAGAAATAGTTGCATCATCTCATGATTTGTTGTACAAGGTAAGTTTCATGTGGTCACCACATCTTATTTAATGTCTATTTTTTCCTGCCTGGCTGGGGACTAATACAAAGACTTCAAAACTTTTCTGCTATTAATTGAGTGCTACCAGCAACCTCAGCCTATGTAGAAATAGCATCTTCTGACAACTGCAGACTTCTTGATTGTATTCTAGTAACTCCACAAAACAGGCATATCAAATCATGCCTAGAGTTTTTGTGAAGGTAAGGATTGGAAATGAAAAAGTGAACAGCACATTATCAGGACCTTAATCTCTTCCCCAAACCTCTTTTCCTCTTTCAGTTGCCTCTAAATTGTGTTCCAAGCATGTAAATTATCACGTCTTTCAAACAGCTCTGTTAAGTTTCCTAAGCTGAGACTTATTATAGGTAGATATAATGTGCTACTGCAGACAGGCATTATGGTTTTATCAGACAAAAGGATCATGTAGCAACTGAGGGTAAAGACAAACGATCAGATGTGAGCGCATTATAGTGGCTGCAGAAGTTAGCACCTGTCAGCTGGGGCTCTGTAGCTATCTGCATTTATGCTCTGGGCCACTTCTGATTCTGACACAGACAGATAAGGTGCATTAGCTGTCGAGCAGCAAGTTTCCTGGTTTTCCCACCTGTAAAATGAGAGCAATAAATATAACCACTTCTCTGCAGAATTTTGAAAGCCCTGAATGAAAAAAATGCTGTATATTAAGTAGTCTTAGGCTGTTGTGTTGGAGTCTACTGAAATGCAGCAGCCTCTAGAGTAAATAATTCTTGATGCCACAGCAAGATTGTTTTCAAGCATAGGAAAGAAGAATCAAAAGTACCTTGAAGGAAACATTGCTATTGCAAAGAACTGTAGAGCCATCTCATGTGCGCTTGCAGTTTCAGGTCTAGTTTAAGCTTATGGATTTAGAGACAGGCTTATGCCTGCAAAAGTGGTCTCACTACCCCTGTATCCCCAACAGTGTGGTCTTCCTGCCTGCCTTGTGTCAAAACCAGTGCTTGTCTTCCTGCCCAATGACCTGGGTCAGGGAACTTCAACCTGACAAAAGCCTGATCAGTTGTGTGTGGCCATGGGGGAGCTGATACCCGCACAGAAGAGGGGAAGGGAACAGTGGCTGGGGGTAGAAATTCCCTGCCATCAGTGGCTGTATTTCCTAAATCTCAACCTGAAAACTCTGTCCTGCAGTTAAAGATAACACAGGTTTCCAGCAAAGACATCACTAGTGGTGTCATTTATACAAACACCCAAAATAGTAGTACCATGGGAGGTGCTGTTTTTTTACAGAAATCTCTTTTTTTCACACTATTTGGAGACTTCTGTGATGTTTGTAAATTTGCTGGGGCCACATTCCTATTTTGGCCAGATAGATTAACTGTTGAACAGGATATTGAAATATTTATATAATCACTTTACATTTTTCACAGTAAGTGGGGGAGGGAAAGCCTTCCTGTGCTCCATGTTATTGGAATAAGAAATAGATAAATTCAATAGCCCAGGTTAGTGTTAGCCACAGGTTAACAGAAGATAATATCTGTCCTGTCATCCCTGGGTATCGTGGGAATCACAGAATGGTTAAGGTTGGAAAGGACCTTAAGATATCCATTTCCAACCCATTTGCCATAGGCAGGAATGCCTGGAATTTTTAAAGGTCATAGTTTTATCTGCTGAGGATATGATTTAAAAATGGCCTTCAGCATGAACAAGTTGGCCATTTAGTTTTTTAGGATACCAGTTGACAGTTAATATAATTTTAGGGATCAAGGGATTTTCTTCATGGAGAGCCAGGCTTTGTCCATGACACTATGGAAAAGCAGAACTCTTTCTCACATCTTTTCATTTGTTAAGAGGCAGACCTGAAAGCACAGTTCCCAGAGTCCAGAGAGTTGAATAAAATAACCCAAAACATCGCATCCCATTCATGACATTCTACAAATGAAAATTCTTCTACTTTGAAGTTTAAGAATTCAGATGTGTCTCTGTCAGTATAATCATGTCCCATGCAGTTTCACCACACTTGGTGGAGTGCATGCTATATACTCAGTGCTTTTGGTTTCCTGTAAGACTTTCAGTAAGTAAGCAAAGATCAAACTTTCATGTTAAGAAGGTACAAAATCCTCTTTAGTATCCAGAGGATTCCTTTCCAATGACCTTTGGATAAGGTAGCATTTGTTTTGCCAATAGACACAGTTCAGGTTCAATAAATACACATTTTTAAACCCATTATTTAGAATACTTCTAATGATAAAACAGAAATTGCTGTATTACACCAATGTGCAATAGTATTAGCAAGCTAATAGGACTTTAACCTGACATTTAGAAAGGCATAATATTCCTTTTCATTTATGGAATCAGTGATTTATATGTGCAGCATCATAAGGGGCAGAATAAAACAAGGGGTCACAGTGAGTCAGTAGCAGAATGCGAGGGGATGTGACCCACACCTTTTCTAGACCTTTGTATTTCTGCCACTCATTTGAACTACTCTCCTGTATGCCTCCTGCTGCAACTGTGCTAAACCAAGTCTGTTTCCCCTGAGAAACCTTTGGAAAACTCCTGTGAAGGATAGGTTGGGTGTTCTGAGCAAGGAAGGACAAGAATAGAGCAAGTAATCTTTCAGGATGAGGTGAAACTGATGAGAATGAAGGCCTATAAAGTTCTTTACAGAGTAGAAAACAAACTTGTCCCACCAGGGACAATGAGCTGAGGAGAGAACAAAAGGCAAATTGCACATGTTCAGGTGAGCTTAATTAAAACCACCTTAATTTAAATTATTTAAGGCAGCCGTCATATTTTTGTTTCTTTCCTTTCTTGTCTTAACCACTGCCTTTTCTGGAAAGTTTGGGTACTTGTTAGAATGCCTTTTTGCTTTTACTGCAGGTTGTTGTTCATTTCCATATTTATATTTACATGTGGCACAGAAATACAGCCTATTTTTGTCTTATTTCAACAATTACATCTCATTTTTTAAAGAAAGGAAAGCTTCAAACTAAATAAGGTTCCGAGAAATGTATTTTATTTCTCCCTGTATAAAATACCTGCAAGTAAAGGGCATGTGGGTCTCAGGTATTTCCATGTGAAGTGCTAAGTAGTTGCTAAGAAAGACTTCTCTTCTGAAATGTCTACGTTTGCTTAAATAATTTGAATTCTTGCTTCTCAGGCATTTCCTCTATTTGATAAAGAAGGTACTGAAGTAATTAAAACACTAGAATTTCAGCAAGTACTTGACCATTTCTGCTTTAAATTATCAGACAAAGCAGTTCAGGCACCTTCTCAAGTACCTTACCTACGTGAGGACTTCATAGTAGACTGGAAAGTTTTCCTAAAAGATATGAACCACCTCACAGAGATAAGAAGAGCTATCAAGCTGTAATATATTTCTTTAAAATATAGATTTAAAAAACTGACTAACTAAGCACTCACAGTTCATATATATTTCTGTTAAACTCCATGAAGCCCTTATCTCCTAACAAACTGCCCTAAGGAGTTACATCTTACACTCAGGTAGATTTAGGTCTGTCCATGGGGCAAGCTGAAAGTATGCAGCCATACTGCCCCAGCTGAACAATGCAGGACATGAGATATCCAAATATGCCCAGTGATCCCTAAACTGTCTAGATGGACTGGCAGTGGCAGGATAGAAAAATGAGTAGAGTAGGAAGCCCACCAGGTTCTTGGTACAAATAATAATAGCAGTGTGGTTGTAGCAGGAATGTCAAATACGGAGGTTAGTCAAGTACAGAGCAAATCTTGACTGCAGTCATAGAGAGTCTTCTGATGCTCTGAATATGCATGTTGCAACAACTCAAATTAGAGTTGCTGTTTCTCTGTGGCAGAGGTTTGCGTCCACAGTGCCTGTCTTGGAGTCATTCACTTGGTACAGACTGCAGGAACAGATCCTTTAGTCCATAATCACATCCTTTTATCAGTACAGCAATCCCTACTCTATTTGTAAATAGCAGGAACATTAGCAAAAGTGTAAATAAAAGAATCCTCTGTCCAATTTTAATTTCATCGTCCTTCCTTTCCTTCTGGTTTTTCCCCTCTTAGTCTGGCTTACCAGTGGGAAGAGCATGTAAATACATCTGAGGGTGCAGGAGTCCAAACAACATTACCTTACAGCTCATTTCTGAACTTGGCTAAGGATGTGAAAGCTGGTTGCTAGCTGGATAAAAACTGCTTCTAATGGAAAAAAAGAAAAAACCACAAAAAACACAAAAACCACAAAAACACATTAATTTGCATCTTATATTCTGAGAAGTAACTATGTTTCATTTTCAAAAGTATATGCTCAAAGCACAAATAAAATGAGAAAAATAATAATCATCATCCAATGGAAAACCGTATAAAAAGCCTACCACTTTATTGCCATGGCGATAATAGAATGTTGTGCTAAACAAATCTGTATGGAGCTGTATTGTGATTAAGTCTTGTGTCATAAAGCAGAAGCTGGAAAACCAGTGAGATCTGCTGCAGCCTCTTCATGTCCCAAGTCCAAGTCTGTCAGGCTTCAAATAATTGCAGGACTTGAGTGACTCATGGGAGGAGAAGAAGGAGGAGGAGGGACCACAGATTTCGAATAAAGGAGGAACCACTAACAGCTCCAAATGTATGTAATGTGTTATAGGTTTCTGTAGCTGGTTAGAGACTTTATCTATACATGTCAGTTACCAATAGGCATAGCTTCACCAAAGTGCTTGTTGTAAGTGTAGCTTTAGTAAAAATTTTATAAGGTTGCTTAAATGTATTTTATTCTCTGCAATTTTAGCATTAATATTTATAGTAGTGCAACTGTTACTTTGTCCTTAGTGGCAGGGCTACATTTAATTATAGTTATTTAAAAAATAGTTGGGGGGGATTTTTAAACATTTATATTTTCAGCTTATTAAAATTAAAATGCAGTCTTAACAGATATAATAGATTACATGGTTCTGAAGTGTGAAACAGTGGATTACTTTGTATAGGTTAGAAAATGCAGCATTTCCCCCTTTCCTACTTTTATGCTGATACAAATTTGGTAAGTTTCAACTGAGTCATATCAGCACAAAGACCAATTGTATGAAATATCTGTATAATTATTCTAAGAATGTATTTGTGTGCTGTAATATTGACCTGCCAGCAAGCTTCCATTTTAACTTTAGAATAAGTAGCTGCTTTTGTTAGGGAAGGGTTTGCTGTAACGTCTTCTCATGCTCCAAGTAGGTGCTAAGCTTCCTTAATACCTTGTCAAGCTGCACAATTCCTGGGATCAGGTTCTGCAAGAGTGTATGCTCAACATGAACTCTCTTTAACAATTAGTCCTCCAAGACCCCAAATACCTTCCACCTGAACTTAGCAAAAAAATTAGGTACTTGGTCCATGACAGGACTGGCGCCTATACTGCTTTTTCAGTATCAAGCATTCATCTTGAGCAGTTTTCTGTGCTGGTTTAGAGGTAGAAGGGATAAAATCATCATTAAAATCCCAAATTAATCCACAAGGGAACATTTTTGAAAAGACAAAACAAATACAAACCAGGTTCACAGTGCTGGTTCAGCTTCCAGATGCTCTCAAATCTCATGCTTTCATTTTGGGTTCAACCCAAAATTTCCCATGCCTTTGCAATTTCATCCCACCCTGGGTTCACACATATTCCTGGGCTCCTGTGCAGGTTCCGAGAGAAGGGTGGTTGTTAAATTATTCAACTTCATTCAAACACACTGCAATTTTGGCCTGTAAAGTATGTATCTAAATTAATGAGGTATGCGACTCATTCAGGCACGTTAGGAAAACTGATCATTATGCTATACAATTTGATCACTGAAGTATATTAAAAAGTAACAAGTAAAGTATGCAGCTTGATCATTAAAGTATGGAAAATTTACTGAACTAGTAAAGTATGAGCCTGGGATGACTTTTGTCTCAAATGGCACCTCATAAATAAAACCCACAACCACAAAGGCAAACATTCACAAACCCAAAAGCTATATAGGTTTAAGTTGTATTTTTCCTAGAAAACAGCTGAATAAGGGGACATGAAAAAATTCTTGTGGAAATTATTTCTGGGTGTTTTATGCATCGTGTGGATCTTTTGATGGCTTTGACATATGTTGATGAGCTTTACATTCTGATTAACTCTCTAAAATACACACTACAGCATCTGTATATGAGCAGGATGTTCACTGAAATACGGCTCTATAGAGCTTTAGGGCTACACTGTACAAAAATAGAATTAGGGATGCAGAGTATTTTAAGCAATATGACTGCAGCTTAATATTCAAATAAGAAAAAACCCACAGTTATTACACTTAGCTTGGATGTTGCTAACCAACTGCAGAAGAGCAAAGGAAGAAGACAGAGAGGACATTGTCTTAGATGGGATGCTACTAACCACAGGTGGACTCTATGAGGATGTTTGTAAAAGCCCAGACCCCAGAGCTAGGAATATGCATTGTGAACTTTCGGCTGGCCTGCCAGTCTTGTGATCAATAAGGCCTGAATGGAGCTCTTCTCCATTAAAGTAAGCGGCTAATGCATTCTGGCCTGCTGAAAGCTGCAGATGGGAATCAGACTCCCCCAAAAGAAAATGTACTCATCTGTCCTTCCCCACTGTGAGCTATTTCAGATGCAGAAAGGGAAAAAGTAGAGAAAGTGTAAAAAGCAATAGTTCAGGTCATGCTGGTCAGGCCTAGAACAGCAAGATATTCATATAGCATCGGCACAGCTGCCTCTAGGGGGGAATATATGGGGAAAGGATGGATTATAATCAATGTCAAACAATTTGTTGTTTAGCCTTCCTGCAGCTGAGGTCACTGAGTGATTTGCTGCAAGCTTACTAAACCTTTACCTGTCAAGTCCAGTAGGGAGGAGAAAGAGGGCAAGGCAGGTTGAGGTGATGTCAAGGAGAAGAAACAGATTACCACTTGCACCTGTTCAAGAGCAGAAACTGAGCTAGCTAGGGGTTTGCTGACATGTGTGTCTCAGCTGACAAAGGGAATGAGTAGAAACATATTTAGCAAAGTTTTTTTCTTTTCTTGTTTTTTTTTTTAGTGATTTAATCTGAAATTATGAAATTTAGAAATCAGATTCTTTGCAGAAAAATTTGCAGAACATTTCAGTATCAAATCAAGCATTTGGTTTAGCTTCATCCTGAACTTTTTGTTTTCAAACTAAATTCTGCATTTTTTGTTTGTGCTTCCTCTTTTGAGTTTCTCTGCAGTCTCATGCTGCAGAGTGCTTTCATCACCAGCTGAGTGCATTTTGTTTCCAGCCACTTCCATCTGATCAACCTGCCTGCAAAACTGCAGGCTTGTTCGTTCATCCTTGGTGTTCTTCCTGCCAGAGAGAACATCCTGCTCCTCCTTGGACCAGTACCCATGAGAGGATTCCCCTGAGTACAGCAAGTTTATGTATCTCTCTGCAGAGCTAAAGCCACTTGCTTTCACATTGCTCTCAGCAGTGGTTGCTACAACCCCTTCCTTATAAAAACAGGTTCCTTGTGATCTTGGAAACTATTCTTGTATCTACAGAGGGGACAGCACTGACACAGCTTACCAGTTCTACAAATGGAGAGTGGCTGCGCTGTGGCTCCCCAAGCACTGATTTGCTTGCAAGTGATGGAATGCACAGAGTGCAACTCTGTAGTGTATCTGTTGTAACCATAAAGTTTTAGAGCTCAAAAACCCTATGCAACACAAAAGTTACATCCTTGGTCTTTCCACAACCCTGTTTCCTAAATCCAACAGTGTTACTCACCCAGCCCTTGTGCACTGTGTTCAGGCAGTTAAGTTCATTTTGCTGCAACGATCTACCTGTGAAATTGCAGCAGGACTACATAATGACCTCCTCTACAGAGGTGGTGCTTTTCCCTGTCTTGAGAGTGGGTATTTTACAGGTTTATTCATTACTCATTGTCCTCATATGTTGAACCTCTTGGCCTTCCTGTTCTGGGCCACTGATACAACCAGATAACTGACTGTTATCCGTCATGATACACTGCACCAGTATCAGAGATTGCAGGCCTGCTGATTATGTCCCTACTCTGTCAGCAGCACCACAAACTTTGTCTGAGCTCATGTAGAACAGCTGTGCTCCAGAGAAATATCCCCTCTAGGGTGCCTGCATGTTTGCATCTATTTCTGAATATTTCGCCTGCTTCAGGCTGAGAAACGTTAAAGCTTTCCTTACACCATGATTTAACTCCATGTTCCTCTTTATCCATTGCAAACCTGGTTTGAAAATTCCCCTTCCTTGCCCTGCTCTCCTGTGCAGTGCCCTTTCCAAGACTATAGCATGCTGTCCCTTATTGTGCTAGGGTATCTGATTTGGACTCTTTCCTCAATGATGAGTGAATAAAAGGTTCTAATGGAATTTTAAAATGGCAAATTCTTCTTTGGGAAGCCTTTCACTCTATATTTACTAAAAGTAGAGGAAAAGGGAAAAGAAGGAATAACGGAAAATAGGGAACGTAATATTAGGCCATCAGCTGTACTGCTGATGGGCTAAACACTGTTGGGAAGACAGAGGAGCAGGGAAGTCTCGCTGTGGCTACTGTTTCTTTAACAAGTTCTATCTAGGCTTAATATTTCATACTCGTTTAATACAATAGTTATTTTAATTACATTTAGGGGAATGTGGCTCTTCTTTTTTTCTAGCCAAGGCAGAGATTGGCATGTGGGCCACCTCTGACTTGTGTCAAATCATATTGTCAAACCATTTTATACCATTACGTATTCTAAACACTACCAAGGGTATTTTATCCTACAAATGTGACCCCAAAACTTGAATCTGTTTGTTGCAAACACTTGGTCAAAAGGAAAATGGTAACACTACAGAATGCCCCTCGATGGAGTTTTCATATTTTGTTTATAATTGGGTTTATTGTTGCAGGCTCCTGTTACACATCAGCTATCAAATCCTCAGCAGGCATAAATCAGCACTCAGGTAATGGAGCTAGACTGATCACGGCCAGATGAGGATACAGTTCTACTTGTAACCCAGGGATAAAATATAAGTTTTTCTATAGTGCTGAGAGCTAGAACAGGCTGGCTGGTTATTACTGGTTATAACCAGGAATTCACCAGTGCATTTCCTCCCCAATCCATGCTCCGACAACTAACTGCTTCTTCCACACATCTTTAGGGAAGAGCATTTATGGAAAATAACTTGAAGATATATATTGTAAGGATAAAGACCTATGGGCTGAGCTCAGAAGCCTCTAAAACTGTGTAAACTGTCAAAAGGATGATTACTTCTGGCAAAGGTCATTCCCATCTACAAAGAGGGAAATATACATGTCCCCTTTTTCAGGGAAAGATACAAGGGCTTTCTTATGTAAGCTATTTCCCAAGACCTTTTCTGTCTGAGCCTTCCCAGAAAGGGATGGAGGTCAGACTTGTGGGAGGGTAGGGAGAAGGGCTAGAGAAACTGTAATTTTTCTTGATGTACTGATTTATTTTCTAATTAAGAATTCCTCTTAATAGAAAAATCTTCCAGAAACAGGAAGGAGCTGCGGGAATGGAGCTTCACTAAGCAGGTGTGGGTGGCAGAGCCTTCTTTTATTACTAATCAGCATAGTTATGCCATTTATAGAAAAGGACATGAGGCTCTGAAGGAACTTTCTAAAGAACAAAAATACAGCCCTGCTTTGCAAAGCAAGCAAGCTACATAGAGTAGCCCATAAGAAAAGCCTCCTAATAATGCCTCCCCTTTCTTGGTGAAAGCAGGAGGCGAAAGTGGATTTACATGGTCCCCCCAAAGCACCTCAAATTCTGTTAGGAAGACGAAGAAAGCCTGTACAGAGCTGAGCAGTACAGCCAGGTAATCCAGACTTCACAGCCAAGGACATTTGGCCATAGCGTGGGACAGGTACTGCTCAGAGGCCATGCGGTAGTCTGAGAAGCTGTGAAGCAGGACCCATGGGGGTTCTATGGGTGGAGCACAAGGAACCAAGTATCAGGAAATCACTAAAAGAGAAATAACTATTTTTCTATACAACAGAAAGTCTTCTGTAAACAATCTGTAAGTGTATGCTAGGGCATGTGCTACACAGCTCTGAGACAGCTTCATTCCAGTTCCCTTTCACTCATGAGGTTAAGTCAGACACAGCAAAGCTAAGAAATGTACCCGCACTGTGTATACGGTTAATTTCAAATGAAGAAATAACACTTAAATGTCTAGATACCCAGTCCAGAGTGTGAGATTTTAGGTTCCAGCTCCATTATTTCAGCTAAAGGTGATTCTTTTAACAGCAGATGATAGTGTCATAGATACACACTGGATGCACTAACTGCATGTGGTAGACGAATGTAATGCAATAACTGAATATAAAAGCTTTCCTGTTTTTCAATGTGTGGTTTGCAAGAAGAAGAAGTGATTTATTTTTTTTATTGGCTCTCTAACCGTTCTAAGATCAAAGTGCATTAGGTCTTATGAAATAAACAAAAAGCTCTTGAAATTAAATAAATTAGGAAAGCTTGCACTTACAAAATATGTTCCTTTAAAAGGTTGCAGGGTAGTAACACTTTCCCTGAGCCTTTGGCTTCATTAGGATAATTAAAACCAGCAGTACAGTGCTTTCTAGTTGCAGTAATATTAGGCAGGCAGAAGGTGCGCCCTGCACTGGACCATGCCTGGCAGTCTTCATTTCCTGACTACGGCACAGTCTGGCTTCTGCCTCTGCAGCCGCAATTCCACTTCTCATATTTCTTCCCTTAGTAATAATGCAGCCGCAATGCCTGTCCCACACGTATGTTTTATGTAAAGCATGGTTAATATTGGAAAGTGTTATTTGCATCTGAAGATAGTGGAGTCTTTTCTGATTAGGAGGCAGGTTTCTTGCATTTGGGTAAGAAACATGTTCTCTTTTCCATCCAGTTATAATGATCATGTGAGATGTGACAAGGGAACAGGAGCGCAGGACCAAAAGCCATCTGTTTCTTTTTTGGTATTTCATATTGCATGGAGCAAGAAAGTGGCAAGGCTTAAATGCTTAAACATGGTGGTATAAAACATGATAGTAACATTTAACATGTTGTAAAGAAATGTCTGAACCTAAACCAGATTTTCTTTTTTGGTTGGTTTTACCACGACATCTTACCACAGCCATAGTAAAACTGGCTGCTACTTGTGCTTGTGAAAACTTTGCTCTCAAGATATTTTACATATTTAGTTTAGGCAGTGCAGTGGGTGGAAAGCCAGCTTCCACTCCTGAAAATAAGTAGTTTCATCTTCAAAATTCTGAAACTGCCTATTATTATTATTATTATTATTATTATGCACTGTGCCATTCTTTACACTAATTTTATAAGTAAAACTTGGTTTGATTTTAAAAACTGCAGTTTACTGCTAATTCTGGAGGTAGAATGTAAATGTTGAATAGACTTCGCTGATATTTAACTTTATTAAATGTAGCCTTTTGCATGCACGGCTAGGCTTTTGGCATTTTCAGGTATGTCCATACCAAAGCCTACCAGCATTTTATTCTGCATTTTTTTCCAACCAACTGGATTTTGTCATTTTTATTTCTGCTTGCCATATGACCTTCTCCTGTATTTACCCAAAGTGTGCTTTTCCCTGTGCAGAATGCATAATGGGAATTTAATCAGTAATAAGCTCCAGTGGTAAAGTTTAAAAAACATACACTGCTGTTAGATTTGAAATCAACACACTGAAAAAAAGGGGTTTGCACACACCTTGTGCTAGCATTAACACTCTTGCACCCAACCCTTTCCCTGCTTTCCCCTCACACATTCTGTACCTTTGCAGCCTTCAACTGCATCATTTAGCTGTAGTACCCCTGCTGTGGATGACCAGATTAAAAAGTACCGCCATAAATATGCCTAGAACTTAAAAAGGAAAGGAACATAATTGCCCTCTCTTTCATCTCAGGACTGAAGTGCCTTTTCAATCAAAGAGATTTCCACTGCTTGCTAAAGACTATTCAGATGAGAAGAATACGTTTGGGATATTTGGGCTAGTTAGCGCTCACTTCCCTTTTTTCCGTATTAACAGAATAACCCTCTTTGTATGATCACCCAATTTTTTTAGACCCTTGCAAAAGTTTAGGTCAGTCTTGGAATCCTGTGCTTTTGTTGGCCTGTCACCAGTTGGATCACATTTGTAGTCTATTTTTTCCCTTAACTACTTTCATAGCCCCTTTCTTTTTTGCGGTGCAAGCCAGAGTTCCTGGAAGCAGTTTTTACTGCCTGTGGGATCTCGAAGGCCACCTTCTCCATGGGCTGTTTGACTGGCTGAATGCCACACCACAATTTATAATTTATTCAGTGGATCCATTAGTGATTCTCTGTGTATGTTTTTTGTCTAGACTGAGGAAGGGCAAAAAGTCACTCCTCCTTAATCTGCTTGGGAGCTGTCAGAGAGAGGCATCTTCTCACAGATAGAAGTAGTGACTGCTGGCTTTAACACAGTTGTACAGGAGTTTAAAGATATTTACTCTTCAAAAGATACTACAGTATATCAAAAAAGGAGTTCTGGGATATATGTAGCCAACATTTTCAGCACCTGACTGAAGAACAAGTAAGAAACCTATATTATTTTGTCTTGTTAATTTAAGTGTACAACTGGGTAAATTGGCTGTAGCTAGAGACATGCGTTTGTATAATGCTGTGTATAGGCAAGTAGTTTAAAACTGTGGATGAAATGAAAATGTTTTAAGGCTATCATTCCATGAACATTTGTTGCTATATTTGTGGGAGATTATTTTTTTCCTTATCTCTGAGAATGGTTATGAACTATAATAATCGCAGGCTTTCTAAAGCAAAGTCAGGGAGATGCTATTGCTAATAGCGAAGGTGTGAATTTAAAGCACAGTACTTCTCTTTCACTAGCTCTTTATCTGTATATTTGCTATTTCAAAAGTTTCTTTTTTTTTTAATTTTAAATTAATACACTTCCAGTTGATGGGGGAAAAAAGCCTTCTCAGCATGGAATAAAAGGTATTTCCATGGGGAGCTAATTCCTTTAATGCAAATTCCTTTTTCTCAGTAGCTATTTTGAACTGCTTGGACAAAGACAGGGACAAGCATTTGACATTTCCCGGCCACCTTTCAGCTGCTTTTCTGGGTAAAAGATTCCACCAGATTAGTGTTAGCAGAGTTTATGTAACCCTGAATTTAGCTTGAATGACTGAAGTCATGGCATGAATCTGCCAGTACAAACCATCTTATTAGCCCAGTGCTAGTCTCAGGGCAACCTGAGAGGCCAGTCTTTCATAAGATTGCGCTTCTGCTGAACTCAGAATAAAAAGAGCCATATTTTTGTCTTTGTTAATGCTGGTTCAGTGTGGTCTTTCCTAGTCCAAATATGAGGTGAGTAATAAAACAGAGGGAACCTTGACTAAAAGATTTCAGATTTTACTTAGCAGCATTCTAACCTTCAGGCTCATGATTGCATCAGTGCCATTTGGCAGCAAACTGAAAGACAAGACACAGAGCCTCCAAACTCATATGCATGTCTGCACTACAGAAAGATATTTTGGTACTTTGCTCATTACAGGTATTTTTTACTATAAATTGCAGACAGGAGCAGGGCCTGCTTGGGATTGCAACAAAGAGATTGCAGAGTCTGCCATGTTATCAGGTGCTGCTGCACATGTGTAAAGTTGCAGACAAAAGCACACTAAAAATTAAAATATCTTCCATTTCCCTCTTGAAAATAACAGAAAACACCAAATGTCCTACGTGCTCTATTGCTGCGTACTCTGTTCCTCACCACACTTCTCGTAAGCAACTAAGTGCAAGTGCTTTATTTGAACCTGAAGCCTCAATGCCAGTTGAAAGCAGAAGTGAAAATGTGGTGATACTCTTTCCTCACCCCTGTGAATCACTAACCAGAAGTACTGGGGTGAGCTCACAGCTGAGCCCTGGCCAAGGCAGGAGAGCACACACCTTCCTGGGATGTGAAAAATATCTCCATTTTTTCTTATTTGCTTTTTTTTGGAAGCATAAGACAAGCATCTCCAGCTGAAGAGTCCTCCAGACTAGATTCTGTCTACACTCAAGAAGCAGCAAAGGGACACAGGAGCTATTTTATACTTAAAAGAACCTCAGGCAACTGAATAAAAAAAATCTCGATAGAAACTGTCATCCATAATAGCAACGAGAAACAGTCCTGAGGAGCTTCATTTATATAAACAGCAGCCTTTGTGTGAGTGAGACTCAAGCCCTGTATTTCCAGAGATATTTTGATTTTGACAGGCTTCTCAAAGATATGCCTACGTATATCTATATGAAGATGCCCCAGGAGAGCCTTCCAATCTGGGTACAGGTTTTGCCACTGCTAATCCAAACCCCTGCCATTCTGGCAGTTGTCACTGCTTAGAGTTGTTACAGAAGTGTTTCTAAAGTCATAGTCTGGACGACTTCACAGAAAACATCTTCTTTTATCCTGTCCTGGATGATGGCCACTTACTGTTTGCTATTAGCATGGCTCAGCTGCAGTCCACATCAAGTAGTGGGAGAAGAATTAAGACTGGGTTCTTGGTCTTCTTGGTCTTTCAGAATTTCTGATACTGTGACCTTTTTCATAAAAGGCTAAGGATGGCAAAAGCTCTCCAAGCAAGGTGTTGATTAATATCTCACCAGCTGGCGTCCCCTTTTTATCACAGGCACTTTTTTTGCTTGAACTCCCTTGACTTGCTTGAATGATATATCGGCAGTGCCCCAAATGGCTGAACTTCGTTGGGTGTTAAAATCGTTTCTATAGCTAATCCAGCTCATCAGGGTTTTGTTCTATTTAATTAAAGTTTTTAATACACTTTGAGATCCCCGTATAAAGTGCAAAGTATAATCAGAAGCGCAAAATAGGATTGTTTATAATTCATAATGTGGTAGCAGCCAGGCCAATGGGGGAAAGTTGAAAGGAAATTCAAAATGTATCCTTTGCCCTTTGAAGTTTGACTGCAACTTGGCACATGCATCAAAGAGGTGACTGGTTTCCTTTAGGGTTTAAGTCTCTGCCAAAAAAGATCAAATCAAAAGGAATCTGAGGTTCCCAATTAGATTTATATTAAAAATCAATAATGAAGACCCTATAAGGGCATACTGATGACTCTTGAAACACAAAATGAGTGCACTTATTTAAGGGCAGGCTGTGCTAATCCTTGCTTTGATTTGTAGTAGTCCCATTTAATTCAGTGCAGCTACTTACTGAATAAATGCTGCTCAGCAGAAAATCGACCCAGCTGATTCCATAGGATTCCATACAAAGCCCAGAACGTGGGCTACCTGCCCTGTGCCAGGCCAAGCAGCCACATGAACCTCCATGGGCAGCAGAAGCAAGGGTATCAGCAGCTGCCCCCGTCTTCTGTAGGCTGGCTGTACATCATAACTATATGTGATTCTCAAGGCTGTAAAGATTTCCTGCTATGTTCTTTCATGCTGATTCATTTTTTCCCTCAGGGTGGAATAATTTGTTGATGCAAATACAATAACTGAGGAACCTTAATGGCCTCCTGAGATGGTGATATAAACTTAGGTGCACCTGATAGCATGAGAAATTTGCCTCAGTGGTACTTAACCAGGATATAGGTGCATCATGTATTTGATTTACATCTCATGTTAAAGCATTATCCTTCTATACTGCAGCTCAATCACTGTGTCTAATCACAGGGTTTAGTAGTTGAAACAGCACACTAAGGGCCCAATTCAATTAAAAAATGTCCTGCAGAAATCCTCTTTTTTTCATTGTTTTTCCAGTGTTGTTCAGGCTTCTGCAGAGAAGCTTTGATTTTATTTTTTTTTTAATAAGATGGGCCCTAGGATTCCTTCTATTCCAAAGCATCCTCACGCGTTTTTAATGCATGTTTTGTCATATTATTAGCACATAAGGGGATTCTGGTTTTGTAAACTAGAATTTACAAAAGCCATCTTTTTCTTCATTATTAGTTTGAGAATCTTTGGAACACCTTGGATGTCTGTGATAGTGGACAGTTAAAATAACAGGACTTTCTTGAAGAAGTTCAGCTCTGAACTTGTAACAATACCATCAAGCACTCCCAACAGCCAACTCATTCTGCAACTTCTACCAAGTCAGCTACTACTTGTGCAGTGCATGATCCACACATGTCTTCTCAGGCTGAACATCCCAAGACGTCATCTTCTCCAGTGCAAAACAGCGTAAGTTTGCTTTTCCTGTGAATTTTCTGGACTTTCATTTGTGTGAATAGGTTGAAAATAATATCTGTGGAACTCAGTGAAGGTATTCTTATTGATTTCCCATGAAATCAGACACAACCACCTGCCAATAAGCAAACAATGTAATTTGCAAAACTGTGTTACAATGACGAAAATTGGGCTAGACAGTAACTCTACTGAAGTCAAAGGATATGTGTCAATGTTTACTAATAGCATTCCCTGCTGTTACCATACACATAGCCGTCAGTGCTGTGCAGCTAATAAAATTTCTGTCTTTAAGCACAATCAGGCTTCTGAAAACAAAGAAAATCCAAACTCCAAGTGCCCAATAGCTGCAAAAACAGCATACAAAAATGCAGACAGCTTATCTGTGATCATCTGACAAAGCTAGGCAGGATTGGCAGTTGCAGTTTTCCAAAAGGTGTTTGCTGGCCTGTCCTAAAACATTCTGGTGGTCTTGCCTGCTTTCTGGTAGATACCAAACAACAGCTGTTAATGCCTGATGGTCTGACTGATAGACTTACCATGAAGGACACTGATCCAAGGGAGGTAGCAGAAATGGATTAGGAATGCAATAGTTTTGTTTCATTTTTGCATCCAAACCTACACTTCCTGTCAATAATGCAATTTGGCTCTCTCCACTGCCAATTCTTACCCAAGTGTTAGAATTCACAGAAAGATGGGGAAATCACTACAGGAATTGAAATATCCCACTTGCGGAGCTGCGCTTACTTATTCTAGTTCTTCAGCTACAACCAAACCTACCACAGAAAAATAAAATATTTAGAATTATTCAGTGCCTGGAACATACTTGGATTTTCTGACTACTGCTACATGGAGATGTTTAGCTACTGAAAAAGAAATAACAGATTGAGCAAATTAAAGATGCAAACAACTTGTCAGGGCTGGTAAAACTAAACATTGTCCCATCTCTGGCTCAATTATTGCATTAAGTTCTTTCTCGAAAGCCCGGACAATTGCTTACATGCATCCTTTACGCTTTGATCCAGTTCCCAGTGAAAGCAACAGAAAATTCCTTGTTACTGCCTGTGAATGTTAGATTGGGCAGCAGGAACAGAACTTAATTCTTCCCAAACTTACAGCTGTTGGAAAGACCCCAGCCAGCCTGAACACCAATCAAGATGAATGTTCCTGCTGCATTCATTGCATGCGTATACGTGTGAGGCCTCAGCAAGTCTGCACCAGTGAGACCCTGAAGTCTCACTAAATATGAGATTATACACCGGATCTGGAAGCATAAATACCGCTTATGCATGTATCATAGGCTGAGACTGTGCTCCCAGCTCACCTACAGTACTTCTGAGGCATCAGTCCAAAAGACGCTGCTCACCAAGATCCTCTCACATTACTCAGTCTGTGGTTCTACATAGGACCACTGCAGAACCGAGTCCTCCCAGTAACAAATCAAAGCAATGTTATTTCGTAATTCAGTGACTGTCATTGGTTTGTGTTTGGTCTAAGATGGTTCTACATAGCTTTTGTTGACTATGGTATCTGTTGTTTAATACAAAACATCAAGCCAAATTAAGAAAAAATGATCAAGGCCCGCTAAATGTACAGTGTCATTTTGACACTAAGAGTGTTCTCATATTTTCACCTACAGTTTTGAAGACCAAATTCAAACCAGACTTAGAAGTGACCCAAATGGTACAGTAATCTCAAGTCTGGAAGACCAGAAACTGGATTTGTCATCTGGTGATTTGTCTACACAACCAGTAAAACTCAATAGAAAAAAAACCTAAACAGCATTATCTTTTGCTTTTAGATACCAGCATCCAGTTGTCCTCAGAAAAGAACTTTTTCTGCGTGTGACCTTAACTGCAAAACAATAGAAAATAAGATAAGAAAGAAAATCAAACATTCCTGGAAACGGATACTGAAAGTGTGCAAAGAGAAGGATATCAGCAATGTAGGAGAAATCCCAGTGTCAGACTTCCTAGGTTTGTTACCATCTGAAAAGTGCTTTATCCATTCTCAGATGTGTTCTGTTGTCTTTTTGGTGTCCCAGCCATAGGAACATCTGGCCTGAAGTTAAATGCCACCCACTGCATGATTTCTCCACCTTTCTATTGCAGAGCAGAATAGCCTTGGGTGCAATACATTCACATTCCTATTCAGAATTAGCTACTCCTTGAAAAAGGAGTGCACGGCTTTGCTTGTGGGTGTGTTAGCATGCATACATGTTCCTCATTACCTTCCCCATTCACTATCCTTTCTGTGCCTGGGGATATGTCAGTAAATAAATCCACCAGACTTTTCCTTGTGAGCTTGTGTGTGTTTCTATTTGCACTGGTTTCAATGCTCAACACCTGCTGATTTGAGAGGACCCTGGATTTTACTCTTAGAAGCACACACATTTGTGTGTGTGTGATGAGTGCACACCTGTATAATCAAATGTAAAGTCATGGCTACAAGAACATGTTAGCTTTTATCTCAGTTAACATCAAGGAATACTTCTTGTGCATTTAAAATCAAAATGATGTGTTATCAGTCCGCTGAAACCATGTAAAAAGTGAACTACCACCCCATAGGTATATGCATATGCGTATACCTGCATGTATCAAGCTCTGTATAACACACAGCAGTCACTGCAACTGATGACCTGGCAGCATATCCCAGGTAAAACTTGTGAAGATATGACAATGACTGGCTATTTTTAAGAATGACAAAATTAATATTCTTTCCTTGCATTTCAGATATAGCAGGGAAGTTCAATTTGGATTTAAGCGAAGGGGAGAGTAACCAAATAACAGCAAAATATGATTCCAAGAAAAATGGAACATTTGCATACTATGACTTTCTTCAGAGTTGTGTCTTGTTCTTAAAACCAAAGGAAACCTCACTGATGAAGAGGGTGATTATACAGAAGCCACAAAAGCCGGTAGGTACACAGCTCACAAAAATCAAAGCAAAATTTGTTTTTTTCAGTTTCTGCTATACTGACAAGTTATTTCATGGCCCATTTTTTAGTCACTTTTAAATAGTGATTTTCCTTTCTCTTATTTAATACCATGGTACCAATTGCCTAGTATTCATTTGGTATCTCTTTCAGTTAGAGGATTTAACTCCCTGGGAACATATTTGGTGTATCCAGGTTATAAGGTAAATTGGCCAAATTTGCTAAAATTTGGATACTAATTCCAAATAGAAAACATGGGAGCTGACAGTTCAGGAGCTTTTGTTGAACTAAATGAAATCAAGCTAGAAATCAGAAATGCATGGGATGTGTCTTAGGATGACCCCAATTTGTCAGTGCTGTGCCTCTGCTCCACACCCAGCACCCTAAGAAAAGTCCAGAAGAAGCTCTCACTTGCAGTGCTGTTAATGGACATTAAAAATATCTGTTATCCAGGACTGGTCAGCACATATTGTGCCCTTGCAGCTCTCCCTGCCACATATACCATCTCCCTAAGCTACAATGAAGAGGCAAAAGAGTCCCAGCAAAATGGCTACACACAGGCTGTTTTCCTCTGCCTGCAGTACTGCTTTAGGGCAGAAAAGATCAGAAGCGACACTGAAATCTGGCTCTGGTGGGCCAGAAAGGAAGGCCTTGGTAATAGCATCCCAATCAAGTTATGTAGTAGGAACGGTGCCAAATTCCAAATCTGCTCATTCAGCGAGCCTGCTACATTTTTAGGCTGTTTCTGACTGTGCCTAATTAGTTTAGATATGGTTAGTAGCAGCATTTTATAGAGAAATTACATTACTGAACTGTTTTCGCATGTGGAATGAACAGATTGCTACCAAGGTATGAAGAGAGTGTCATTAGGAATTACCAAGTATTCACTACCAATAGGGACAGTAAGGTAAACCCATTAAGTTTTGCATTAAAGAGCTTCATTATCTTCCATAAGATCTTCCTTTATACACAAACTTGATGTTGTAGAATTCCATCCCAGTGTTCTGGGGTGTATAAAGCAGTAATTATTAAGTCCTTACGTAGTTGTCTCAAATAATTTTTATTTTATTTATTCTATTAAAAAAAAATAATGAAGGTCTAAGTCCCTGTTCTGAGCACCTTTATATAAGGTAATATGCAAAGCAGAATTTCCTCATAGATTGTTCAGTCCATTTCACCTAATAAGTGTACAGATACACATCAAAAGGAATCATAAAACCCAAAAATAAACCATTTTTCTTTCAGTGGCAGGCACAATTCCTTATCTTTCTCAAAAGCCTGAGAGAATCAATGGCCTAGGGCTTCATGGAAGCATCCAGGCTCTGAGCAATGAAAATAATCTATGTTGCAGTCACCATAAGGCGCTCTTTCCCTCCCTTCAGCCCACAAGGAGGGCTCAGTACTTTGGGTTGGAAACTGCATTGTTCATGTACCCACTTATTCCTTAGCTGCATAGTCTGTCAGAGTAATACCCCAAGAGCACAGAAAGATGGTGCAGCTGCCTCCCAGGCCTCTTATAGCACATGTAGGTGCAGCACAGCCTCTGTGTATTCACAAAGCAGATGTATAAAGTCAACTGTGTGCTTCCTTCACACGCAGATGCTTGTGGAGGCTGCAGTGGCACTTGCAGCTGGCACCCAGTTACCGTAATATATACCAGGAAAGTGAGATGGAGATGGGTTGGTTTATTCTTTAAAAAAAGGTAGTGGAGCAGGTCCAGAGCCTGCAGGTGGGCTGGGGCTTGCTGGCTTTGGGAAAAGCCCCTTACTCATCACACCAGTGTTAAAGCTTTGTACAAGTGGAATTAATTTTGCCTCAATGAATAGTCCTGCAGTTTTGGGGTGTTCAGGGCACACCAGTGTAATGAATTTAGCCAAGCTAAAAACAACGGATCACAGCACGTCCTAGTGAAAGTTAACCTTATGGACTTGTGAAAACAAAGGCTCAAAAACTGGTTACAAGTTATTTTTAAACTGGGAAAAGTGTATAGTAAGGTTTTGGGTTTTGTTATATACTGTACTGCTCCCACAGTTGGCTTATGCAGTCACTTGGAAAAATGAACAGTGCAGAGAATTAAAAATGACTGAAAGAAGGAGTTGAGAAAAGGCAAGCTGAATACATGTGAAAACACTGAGATCTGAGCAGAAGTAACACTGACTTCGGAATCAGTTTCAAATAACAAAAAGTTAAGGCTTTGACAGTGATTAAGTAAATATACCATCTGCACTTCCCAAGAATATCAAAATGTTATAGGTTAAAATGATCTTGTGTAAACAGTATCTTGCAATAATTTGTAAACAAATTATTGTTTACAGTATTAAGACAGTATTACAGTCCAGCATCTTTTCTCTCTGCACTATAGTTCTTTTTCCCAGTTGTGTCCATGATCTGTTACTAAATGTGAGTCTTTCTCATCCAAATTCACTAGCTGAGTCCTGGACCACAAACCACATCATTTTTCAGTGCAACGCTGAGAATTCAGCCCAAGATCCTGCACTGCTGGAGACCAATGGAGCGAACTTTTAAATCCCATGATGAAACTCGTAGCGGTCTGTTAAATGTTTCAGATTTCAAACAAGTAGGTTGCGGTTACAAAATAATGATCAGAAATTTACAGCTGTCTAATCTAAGCTTCCAGATTGATTTTTTTCTGGAAAATGGTGCTGAACTGGAGCATATAATTTCATTCTGGATCCTGTCTGTGACTTTAGTTCTGAACATCACTCACAGTAACCTTTCTCTACATGTAATTACAGTTCCTTGAGGTCTGAGGTCTTGGTGGGATCCTGGCTAGATATAACAGAGAAAAACCTACCTTAGCCCTTACACCAAGTTTAAATGTGTATCTTTCACAAACAAATGGCAACAAAACACAAGCGTACTTGCCGATAGATCTCTGTACAGGCACTGCTATATCTGCAGGATCCTGTGACCCTCTGACTGCTGTGGCCGCTTCTAAATTTATAATGGACTCAAGTAATCCTGATTTGAAAGCCTCTGTTTCTGTTTTCTGTTTCTGTTTCTGGAATCCTTTCTCTTGTGCATGCAGCATAATTCTGTATTAGGTAAGGGATCCATATCCTCTGCAAATATTTAGGCATCTCAAATCTCCTCAAACAGCAAATACACACCTGTGTATTCTGGATATCAGTGATTCTTCCTCAAGATCAATGGGTAGTTTGATTTTTCCTTAGCTTTACTGATTTAAAAATCTTTGACACTGTTTTAACTAATAATAATCATCACTGTTCTGAAGTAATTCTGACTACTTTCTATCCAGTTGCAAGGAAAAACAAAAAACCAAAAAGAATAGACTGGGGCCTGAACCCATTAAATGCTGTGTGCATTAGGACACCCCTTGGTATCACTACTACTGCGCAACTAGCAGACAGGATGCTCACAGTATACAAATGCCTGGATGCAATAAGCAACAATAAAGTGTGTTTCTGACTCTCCTCTTCCCCTGGAGCTGCAGGAAGGTGTGTTGTTGCCTGATAGGTATAAACCTGTTCAATATACTGGTCACAGAAATGCTCTGCCAAATATTTACTCATTTAGGACAGGTGGGAATGTGGTATGTTCTGGCACTGCCACATAGCTGAAACCCGAGTACCTGCCTGCTCTTCTACAAAGGCAGAGGAGCTAGATGTGTCAATGAGGCCATATCAAATTCTTGCCTGAGGCTCCCTGTCTATTGCTGCAGCTTTCTGACTGCTTGGGCACTGCCTCAGCAGACTAGGCTCAGAGGAGGAGGAGTGAAGATCAGGCTCCTTTGCATTTGATTTTAATTTGTTATGTTCCTCTAGGACATATGATGATTACTATTTGTAGTTAAAGCAACGTCAACGACTTTCATATCAAGCTTCCTAACATGATATAAACTAAGCAAAAAAACCAACAACAAAAAAAACCCCAACCAACAAACCCACACCAAAAAATTAACTCTATGTGGATCTAGATCCCTGAAGAAACAATCCCTGATTACACAGTCCTACTACAAAGGTGTTTGTTAATCTGCTGTTTGACAAGATATCAAGTGATTTATGGAGGTACAGATCCCTTTATCTCCTAAGTAACTTAATTTACTGAAATGGGGAAATCAGCTCTCTACTAACTTCAGTACCACTGCTATTTATGGCTGTACTATCTTGCAAGGGGTCATTAGTGATTTCTGATGCTGAGCTGCTAAAAGGGAAATGGGCAGACTAATCTGAAATTGCCAAAAAACTAATGACAACTGGCATAGCACACAAGGACACACCATGTCGCTGGTCATTTTCAGGGTTTAAATTCTGAAGTGCCTCTAAACCCAGAAGTAACCCTCAGAAATTAATGATTTTCTTTTACATCGGGGCACTGAGAACACTTCAAACCACTGAAGTGCTGAAAAACACACTGGGTCAAATATTTGAAAGATGCAGGTATCTAAACCAGCTTTTACCATCAGGTGAAACAGATGCATCCTGCTCAAGATGGGCTCTCACTGAAGTGCTAGGAAGCTTTCAGGCTGAACATTTGTTCCATGGAAATTAAAAGCACCGAGTGCATCAAGAGCATTATCATATACATCGGGGTTTGTACAGTTTGAGGGACTTCTGTTTCTCTGGATGCAAAGGCTTCAGATCACCCAAGAAGGATAGAAAGGAAGATTCCACCCCTTCATCTCATCTCCAGATAGCAGTGGATGCCTTTTAAATATGTGCTTTCTGTAAATTACCTTCTATGCATATAGATGCTACGCATTTCCCAGTGTGTCCTCAGACAAGTGCTAGTTGGGCTAGTGGACAAAACCCCTGCGTATGCAGGTTTTCAGACACATCCGAGGGAGCCAGTATTGGCACAGACAGTGTAAGGGATAATGAAGGAAGGTTTGATTTTCTAACTCTGAGAAACCTAAGACAGAGTGGAGCTGAACCATCAAGATACTTTGCAATGAAATTATAGCAAGATAAACAAAAGTTTTTACTTCTTGCTCACCCAAAGCACTGAAATAAATTTTAAAGTTGTCTATGTCTTTTGCAGGTTCTTCATGACTACAACATTGACCTAGCTGAAGAGGACTTATTCAACATTTTGGAATACTATGATAAAAATTTGACTTCAAAGATATCCTATTATGATTTTCTCCAGGCATTCATACAGTAGGATTTGGTCAAAAGCAAAAAAATCCAGATAAAGACAGTAACTGATTTACAATTTCAAATTTCAAACTAATAAATTATTTGACTATAGCTTTTTGTTTTTAATCTTTTCATTAGAAAACTCAAAATACTTCTAAATTCTGACAGTGGTCTTGTGTTGTGGATTAAATCTACATAGTGAGAGAATTAATTTTGCATAATCCTTTTATCACAAAAAAGAAAAAGATGACAATTAACACTGTCAAAATAATGCTTCCGAACATGTCTCCAAAAGTAATTCATTTAATTGTATGCATTTTATTAATGACATACTCTTAACTTCAGTAAAAAGGTTTACAAGACATATTATTGAATTTCCTCAATTGTCATTTTCCAGATTTATTACTTTTAATACATTAGCCTTCATTATAAAAAAAAAAAAAAATCATCCTATTTCTTGGAGCATCGTTTTCCTCTCCTTGCAGTGCCATATGTGCATTGTCAAAGAACACATTCATAGGGACTAGCCGTTGAAATCTGAGCAGATGCCAACTGTGTGTGGACACCACACCTTTCTCTGTTAAAACTATCCTTCTTCATCTATCAGCACAGTTTGGAAAAGAAACTACTTTACTATTAAACATTGGCTTCTGAATTGCAGAGAAATATTCCCAGTGCTAGCCATGAGGTTTATTTTTTAAGGTTACTACATATATATTTATACAGCAAGCAGTAAACTGCAAATAAAATCCCTGGTTGGATTTCCCAATTTTAGAAATACTCTGGTTTAATATCATCTTGTGAAGTACATTGATCTTGGTGAAAAAATCAAAAGATATCTGACTGTTGAACTCTTGTGATAATTAAAGGATAATATGATCATCAGAGCCTGCTTCCTAAGATTATATTAACAATTAAACACATACCTGCTCTGAAGAACTGTTAGATAAATGTTCCACTGTCTGGTTCCTGAATTCGCTTTCATCAGTACACGAAAGAACCCTGTCCTCACCACCTGAACCGATTTGGTATCTTCCTTTCTCCCAGGTAATATATAAAGATAAGTCAATAAAAAATAATTTTTTAAAAAGAGAGCAAGTTATGGGTGTACAAACACACATGCACACACACACACACACACACACACATATATCTCAAGGGAAGTCTTTGGAATGGGAAAGGGTAGTAGAACGTAACCTTGGTTTTCTTATTACTTCTAGTGAAAGTGTGAACCATTGCGATGAACCTGAAAGATTCCCAGTGCAGAACACTTTACTGCATGTTTTTTTCTGAGAAAATGTTTCTTTGCATTTGGGGCTTTTCAGGAGGTATTTTGAAGATTTTGAGTAAAAAGCATTGGGGATGTTTCAGGTTGGATGTTCTGTATTGTTACTCGTTTAGCTTCCAAGATTCATGTAATTTGTACTCTAAGAGAAATACATTTGGAGTTTAATATATTTGAAATAATAACATAAAGAAATGCTTCCTACACTTTTTTTTCTTTTTTTCCAAAACTGATCGCTGTCTGTAAGCCACTGAAATTGCTGCTTAGATATTTGATTAACAGAGGAGACTGAAATTACTGGTATTAAAGGATGTTCTCCCATGCTAAATCAATACAAAATAATCCTAGTTCAATTAATAGAAAACAGTAGGTTTTAAGAATACACGTACATATATAGCAAGTGACTAAAAAGAGCTTCTCCTGGTTCAGTTGCAGGAACACAGGCACAATTTAGCTACTCCCACCTGGCTACCCTGGCAGGTCGTGTGTTAACCCCAGCTAGCCCCACAGGGCTGTCTCCAGTTTCGAAGGACTTTTCAGACAGCAATAGGTAACTGTGCTTCAGCAATTGACCTGAGCCCAAGAAGGGGTCAGTTTAGCCCCATTTATGATCCAATTGGGCCATCTTTGTTTCATTTTATCCTTGTAACTGGTGCGGAGCCTCACGCTGCTTTGTGCTCTAACGCCAACTTCTTCCCTCCTCCCCACTCATTCCTAATTTAATTTCTGTAAGTATTTCATACAATTCATGTACTGAATTAATCATTCATATCAGTTAAAAAATAATTGCTATTTGGAATACCAATGATTAAAACACAAATACAACATTAATTATTTTAAAAATAGTGGATTTCACTGCACTGATCTAGGTGAGGAGATAAAAATAAACTACATAAGTGATAATCCAGTAGTGTTGTTGCCGGGTTTGGTAGCTTGTTGTTTTTTTTCCCAAAAAAGTCTTCTCCTGTACCTCCTGTTTGACAATTGGGTCTAATTTTATATCAAATACAGACTGCCATCCTTGCGCTGCTTTCTGGCACAGAGCACGGCTACTGTGTTTCACAAAGGGATGCAGGAGTTGTGTCCCTTGCCCTGCCATTTTCAGGATACCCACCGCCATCAGGAGAGGTGATGTGGCAAGGGGATGGATGTCTCTGGGTTTCCTCACACATCCTGACAGAGGATTTTTCATTAGTTCAACTGGCAGGAGTATCAAATCCAACAACTCCGAGGGGATTAAAGAGCAATCTTTTTGCTGTACAAACAAATCAAATCACACTGGGGTTTTTTTTTAGTGAGTTCTTACCAGCTATTTCTCCAACCTCAAAATCAAGCCAAACCCAAAACAAACTGAATTTTAACTGCCAGTGTTTTGAAATAACCAAGGTAAATTTTCATATTAAAATTGCAAACTGATGGATGGATAAACTTTGTAATAGAAGAGGGCTTATTTGTTTTGCAGCCGCTCCACCTAACCAAGGGTCAGCCACCCAGCTATGGAGGGCTGGCAGAGATCCCGTGTTTCCACTGTGAGGCAGATAATGTCAGTGGGATTGAGCATTATCCCAGGGTAATGCTCTCCTGCTGCTGTATGTAAACACTGCAGCAAAGCCGAGGTGGCTATGAAAATAAAAGCATCAATGCAAAGCTCAGAAATGTAATCTCCAAGTGGAGGACAGCGATCCTGTGTCTGCTCCAGCAGGACAGGCATTTGCCCTGTTATCCCTGGGGGCAGCAGCACAGGCATATGGACTGCTGGTTTGGAAACTTGGGAAGGGGGAGCAAAGAGACGGATTTTGGCAGCACGGGTCTCTGCCAGCACTCCCTGTGAGGCAGCATCTGCTGCCACTGAAACACAGCAGCAGGTGACAGCCCATTGCTGGCTGTTCCCTCCAGACATGCCCCTTCTGGGCTCAGTGCAGAAAAGCCCTTAGGCAAGGTCTCTCACCTCCCTCCCCAAGGGTCCTGCTGCCGGTGTTGGGAAGAGATGCGCTGACTCTCGCACACCAGAGTCAGGGCCTCCTGATTGCAGCCCAGCCCTTGCACTTGGCTTAGCGGCAGGTGGCCATCAAGCATCTGACTGGGCTGATCACGATTAATGCATCTTGTGAGGCGTGAAGGAGGCCAAGCACATCCCATAGTCAGGGGAGATGTCTGCCTTCAGCAGCCCCTCCAGCAAAGCCTGGGGAACAGCAGGCATGGATCCCCAGGGGTTAACTCAACTGTGGATGACAACCTGCATTGCCAGACCTGCCTTAGTGCTTCCCTGCCTCTCTGCCCCCGGACCCAGTCTCTGTGACTGCTTATTTGCCTCTTCTGAGCTGGAGACAAAGGGCTTCTTAAGGCTGGAGGAAAATGGGTTCTTCTGCAGTGCTCTAACATTGGTTTAAGTTTCATTTCCTTCACTCTGAGCATAATAAGCTCACTGAATGAGACTGAAGACATTAACAGATCTGCTGCTGCACAGGAGCCCTATGTCACTGCCAGGTCACCCACAGTCCTGCTAGACCCATCTTGTTTTCCCACCTGCACAGCCAAGTTTGGCCCATTGATACATCCCTCAGCAAAACAGCCAGCCACTCACATATGGCACCTCTGACTTAGGGGTGTACTGCAATAAAGCTCACATCAGACAAGCACCACAATGGTTCCAGGGAGTTAACGTACAATGTAAATACCCATCACCACACAGAAAGTGAATATCAGGTAGAAGCAGACTATAGAAGAAGACAGTGTCTGTCTCTAAATTTTCTTCTCCCCCATTATTCCTTTCAGGTTTTTCTCACTTCAAAGCCCCAGTAAATATGGATGCTCACCAGAAACATGTGCTGCTCATTAGCACATCCCCAAGCCCACCTGAGCTACTTGGCCTCTTCAAATCTCCTGCCCTGAGGCCAGCCTGCTGCTATTGCCAAGAAACAGGGGTTGGCTTAGGGGAAGGAGCAGCCTCACAAGAGCCCTTTTGGAGCAGAGTAGAAAGACATGGCACAAAAGCTGTTTGCTAGAAGCATGAGGAAACAAGGGAAATGAAAGATGGGAATCAGTCAGAGGAGTGGAAGGAAGAAGAGATTTGTAGACTCTGTACCAGCTATTTCAGTCCTAGGGCTTGGTGTGGAGCCTGCAAGAGTGGGAACAGAGTGTGCTCAAAGAATGAAGAAGTAGGGAAGGGCAGAAAGAGGGCTAAGGCTAGGAAAAGGGACAGAAGCGAAAGGAAAGAAAGAATAGATTCATATGGGCCATCTTCTATACTGGCAACTGGCATAAAGCCCGCAAGGGCAAAAAATAAAGTGTGCTTCAGGGAAAAAAGTCAAACTTCTTCAGAATGCAGTCATTTGATTAAGGCATTACTGTGTGAAGTGCCTATATCTCTGTGCAATTACTGGTTTTATCTGGATGATATGCAGCAGGTCATGAGTACTAAAGGGATGCTCCAAATAGGGGAAAATGAAAACCAGGTTTAAAAAAAAATCTGTTTCCTAAAAAATAATTTTATTCTGGTTTTGTATTTTTCTATGCTAAAGGCTGCCATGCAATGGAAGAGTATTATTATGCTCTGAAAAGAGTCATAAAGAGAATTTATATATATCAATACTTAAAATATGCAAATATGATATCTTCACAACGCCCCAAAATTATGCTTGGCATGAGTTCTTAGCAACAATACAAATATCATCATCTTCAAATAAGCAGGTATACCGTGCTGCTCAAATAGCTGTAAAAATAACCTCATCACAGCTCTGGGAGCATCCAGATTTCATCTTTGATGTAGATAGATTTTAAGTGGGAAAGCGAAGAAAGTTGTCTTAAACATCAGGGTGTGTAGGAT